CCATCTCTCAAGGCACACTTATACTTGCGCAAGAGTCGGACCGAAGCTTTCTCACTTTTCACTTCCGCATAACGTGGTATGCTCCAAAATATGTGGTACGCCAGTCGCATCTGGGGGGTTCGTCTTAAAACCAATACCGAAGACATTGTTCTTATCCTCCCTGGCAACATGCAGGTAATCTGCATCTGTCTTGTCGTGCTTTAACCGTACTGCCGTAAGGTGCAACTCTGGTACATGTTTCTTCTCCTGGACAGTGAACCCGTGGAGTTTCTCTCCGACATTTGGAAAACTGTCCAAGCTAGTGACGGTCGACGCAGCTCTTCGAGATTGATTCCATGGCGCGAGTGTGTTGCTGACTCTCAGCAACCGACCGCAGACGGGTTGCCGCGAGACTGGTATTCGGCACTTGCATTTACCTGCCCCTGAGAAAGAGCGCAACATGGCGAGGGCAACCTGGAAAGGAGAGAGACCGCCTGGCTGCAGCAGTCGATAGGATCGTGAAGCTTTCTGTCTTCTAGGAACTGCTACCCCAACTATGGTACCGAGATAAGAGGGTCGATTAAGGGGGCAGCAAACGTGTCTTAATCACTTTGATCCGATCAAGGATACCTCTGACTGGACAGTCGGCAGCGTCTGAAAAGGATGGTAGGAAAGTCCAAACAGAGATATCGATGTAGGTGAAATCGAAGGATATGATGGCAGACACAGACAATGGTACTTTGGCCGATGCCAAGATTGAAGATTTCAAATCGGGTTAGTGCCGGTCAAGTGCGCATTCCCCCTCTTACCTACGCTCACGACTGGATTCGATTCGATCTATTCTCCCCGGCAAGGTCCTCGAAGCTTCTGTTCTGTGTGTCTGTCTTTCATCTGGCGGACCTGCTCTCATTCTCCGGAAAACCCCGCAGTCTATTCTCTTGCTTGAAGGTCTTCGATCGCCTTGCCGAACTTGGTTGCAAAAGATTGTGGAGATCCAATCCACCGAGTTCTGCGAGTCTTTAAAGAGAAGGCCACCTAGGTTCTCCGCTAGTATAGGTACTCTGTGGGTTTTCGACTTCGATTAGGCTAGAGCTTCGATCATACTTCTTGGGGAGTACCCTCTTACGTTCGTGGTGTTCCTGCCTCCGCAGCCGTGTACCAAAAAGCCACCCATTTAACGGTCTACCGCTTCTCGCCAACCTTGCCGTCTTCGCAATTTTCGGCATCCGTGGATTGGCCACGCGACCACCGCCAACGAATCCGCAAATCGCACCCAATATTCGGCACTGTTCCTGCAGGAATCGAGGGTCATGTCGTCTGCAGCAATGTCGAAGAAGAACAAGGGGAAGAAGATGGCGGATCCCAATGAGACGTCTAAGCTACTTGCTGCCAAAATCTCTCAGCTGGAGCAAGATGCTGCTGGGGAGAAAGATCAAGAACAAGAAATCGGTTCGTTATGCGGCCTTTCCCTAGCATAAAATCCTTTTGCAGCTTAGTTTCGATCGCTACATACTTATTAAGTGGTTGACACTAACCGGTACCTACCGACAGAGCGTGAGGTCAAGAAGGCTACCAGAGATTTGAACCAATTGCTCAGCAACATCGAGTCCCCCATGACCAGACTGGAGACCGTCCACAAGAAGTACACCGAACTGTTGGCGGACATGAAGAAGCTGGATCGCGACTATGCCAAAAGCAAAAAGCGGGCCGATCAACTCCAGAAGGACCAGGACAAGGGCAAGTCGGAATTGAACAAGACTGTCACCATGAAAGATAAACTGGAGAAACTCTGCCGAGAGCTCACCAAAGAGAACAAGAAGGTCAAGGTGGGTTGATTCGGACTCGACGGAATCGTCTATTTCAGTTGCAAGAGCGTTGGTCTGACAGTCGCATGTTCGACAGGACGAAAACAAAAAACTGGAGGAAACCGAGAAAAAGGCGCGGCTGATTGTGAATGAACGGCTTGACTCTCTGTTGTACGATATCCAAGATGTCATGGCAGCAAAGGGCAACCCTCGCAACGAAAAGCTGGATATCGACTTGGACGAGGCGTAAGTCCATTGTCATACGGACCATCGATTCAACCGCTGACCCTAGCATTACAGCCTGCGCGCCAAAATTAAGACCATCGGCGAAAAGTTCGAAATGCGAGAGTTGCATTATAAAGCGCTCTTGCGCAGCAAAGATGCCGAGATACAGTGCCTAACTGCCAAGTACGAAGAACAGCGCCGCGCAGCTGAAAACGAAGCGGCCCGTTGTCGTGCGCTCAGTTCGCAGGTGTCTACTTTTTCGCATACCGAAGCCGAATTGCGCAGCCAGCTGAATATCTACGTTGAGAAGTTCAAGCAGGTATGTTTCGGCGTCCATTGTGCGGCCTATCACGTCTGTTACAATAGCAGGTAATAATAATGTTACAGGTGGAGGATACGCTCAATAACAGTAACGAACTGTTCCTGACGTTCCGCAAAGAGATGGAAGAAATGTCGAAGAAAACCAAACGATTAGAGAAGGAGAACCTGACACTCACCCGCAAGCACGACCAAACGAACCGAAACATACTAGAGATGGCCGAGGAACGCACGCGAAATCACGAAGAGTTAGAAAAGTGGCGAAAGAAGAGCCAACACCTTGAAGCGCTTTGCCGGCGAATGCAGGCCCAGGGCCGTGGGCAGGGTCTCACAGCCGAGTTGAACGGAGACGACGAGGGAACAGAGAGCGAGTACGACGAGGACTACGAAGACGATGAAGACGACGAGGGCATCAGCGACGACGAGTACGAGTTGGACAATCCGGATCACGACATCAACGGCGGCCGTAGCGCTCCCCAGCCGACGGAGAAGCCTGTCTTTGGACCACCCCCGCCGCCTAACCTCTTGGAAGCGCGAGCGAATGGAAACAAAGCCATGATCAACGGATGCCACTAATGGATCTTGGTTCTGGCTAATACCTGCTGCCTCGCGTTTACCTCGTATTTCATGAGTCTCATCGCGGCCTATGCATAGAAGGGCGTATATCTGTTGTGAGACGCTTGTCGACCCGATTGGATATGACTCGATTCGCTATGAGTATTCGGCTTGAGTCGCGCATATCAGGAAAGGACATGTAGCAGCAAACCTCTCGCTCCTGGAGGTTTATGTCAGCATAGTTCAAGCCAGAGTAATGGAGACACTCTTCGTGAGATTTCTGCTTGAGTGAGCCTCTCTGCTGGTGTTGCCGAACTAGTCTCAAGTATACCACAAAGCATGTTCCCTCGTCCACGAGGTTTTTCATTTCGCCCGTCGCACCCGTTCTGTTTTGTTGCACATGTTCCTGTACTTGTACATGCCGAATGAACAAAAACCTTATTGATAGCTTCAGGCAATCATGAAATTCATTTTTACAGCATAGCCGGTTTCGAAAAGGCAACTAAACTACGGAGTACATACAGTCAAAGAAATCATAGCTTGCTTGATGGTCCGGTGGTATACGAGGCTCCTTGCTTCAACATTTCGGCGGCATCCTTGACCATCTCGCGCACAATGTCACCTGCAGGCTTGATCTCTGTGATGCTGGCGGAGACATCGCCCATGAGGAAAGGCATATCGACCTCCTTCTCGCTCTCCAGGTCGTGCATCATAGGGACGATGCCCTTGGCCGTCAGCTCGGCGATCTCCTGGGGCCGCTTCTCCCAGTCCTTGATGTAATCATTTGGCAGCATCCGCAGCGGCCGTCCGGTCACGACAAGCGTCCGCTGCGTCTCGCCGTACCGGGCCCTGACCACGGCCTCCTTGTGCATCCGGCTAGCGCCACTCTCCTCGGACGCCACGAACCGCGTACCCACCCAGACACCGGACGCACCCAGCATCAGCGACGCCGCCAGGCTGCGGCCGTCGTTGATGCCGCCCGCTGCGACAACCAGCGCCGGCTGACCCGTCAGCGGGCTCTTATACCGCTTCGCGACGTCCACGACCGCCGGCACGAGGACGGAGAAGGGAATGTCGCCGGTATGCCCGCCACCCTCCCCACCCTGCGCACAGACAATGTCCACACCGCGCTGCAACGCCTTCTCCGCGTGCCTCGGCGCCCCGACCATGTTCATGACCAGGATACCGGCCTCGTGGAGCCGCTTAATGGTGCGCTCGGGCGGCACGCCCACGGCAGACACGAAGAGCTTCACCCCGTGCGAGATGACAACCTCGATGAGCTCGTCGAGCTGGCCGTGTGTGTAGTCGTGGTTCGTGGCGCGCGCGCCGCCGCCGACCTGCGGCAGGGCCAAGTCCACGCCGAAGGGGAGAGACTTGTCGCGCAGGAGCGATTTGAGCTCCGTGAGCATCTCCGAGAGCTGCTGGGGGGTGTAGCCCAGCCCGCCGATTGTTCCTAGCCCGCCTGCGTTGGAGACGGCGGCGGCGAGGGGGGCGCCGGATGCACGAGCCATGCCTGCCAGCAGGATGGGGTGCTGGATGTTGAGGAGTGAGCAGAGGGGTGTGTGGACGGACATTTTGTAGCTTAGACAATAGACTAGTGGATATCAAATCGCCTTTAAAATCGGTATGCGTTGTCTTATATCATCCCTATTCTTCACAGCTATCGTACTGAGTGAAGGTCAGAACTGTGGTAAGAATGTGCCTAGAAATTGAGAAACAAATACAAGGGGTGAGACAGTTTAACAGATCGTGAGGGACCAAGTAGACAGAGAGGTCTTATTGATTAGCATTATTGATCACATATATACAGAGATGGCTCTCACGAGCCCCAGGATATATGCACACATAGAACCGACAATAGAGCTGGAGATGAAGCAGTTGTGTCTGTGAATGCGGGGAAGCGGAGGCCTCGAGCAGCCGGACCGAGGCTGAACCACGGGCTGCTGTGCATCAACAATCAACCATCTACGGAGCAATCTAGCATCTACTATCTCTTTCATTTTCATTACTTCATATAGCCGATATATATATGCGACAAAGGGGCTAATGATTAGTCGTCATCATTGTTGCTGTCTAGTCCGTACCTCAAACTGACCCTGTCCTCGTTCCTTGGTATGATCAACGGACTGTCGAGTCCGCCGGTAACTCGTGAGCCGGATGATTTACTCGGTCCTCGAGCTCATGCGCGGTACTGCCGCCGTCAAGTTCACTGACCATTAGGCGATTACCTTTATGATCTGTGACGGGGTCCACTTGCGGCCCGTGAAGAACTGGTTGACGTTTCGTTCGGCGACTGAGAAGCCACCACACCAAGAAAGCAATGAGGGCTACTCCAGCCACGCCGCCGACTACGCCTCCTGCAATGGCTCCTGTGTTTGTCTTAGAGGACGCCTCTGAGGGTTGAGTTTGAGTCGATGTGTGCGTTGGTGATGTCGAGGATGTAGAGCTCGTCGACGGCGTGGATGTTACGGAGGAAGTCGATGCCGCAACAGATGCTGGAACGCTACGTTAGCATTCAACTGAGGATTCTGGGTGTTTTACAGCCCACGTACCCTTCCCCGAGGAGACAACCGGCAACAGAGTCTCGGAGCTGTCGAAGTTATACCCCCGCACCGCGCAACCATCACTGCCCGAATTGGTGCCGAAGGCTGTTGTTCCCTTCTCACAGCAAAAGTATCCGTAATAATTGTACAAATCCCACGTCTCATTGGCGCATTTTGGTGTCTCCACAAGCAGCTGTGTGCAGTTCGCGGCGGATGGACAGCAGTTCACATTGTACTGGCTTGGGCAGTATGAGCCCCCGGGGCAGCAGGCTCGAAATGGGTGAACGGTGGCACCACAGTCCACCTCTGTGTCGAGACAGGAGCCATTCGTGCGGAGCGCAAACCCGGCAGGGCCGTCTAAAACGCTAGACATTGACTGTGGACTCCCCGTAGACTTGCCGTGAGGGCGTAGAGGCAACGACGATACCGAGGGAGAATGTTGACCAGCATAGGATATTTGTACGCTTAGAAGGTTACACAGAGGATAATACACGAGAGTCAATGGGATAAACAGACCTCCGGCCCCAAATTCGAGAGCAATTGGAGAGTTTGCAAGATCGCTTATGAGGCGCACGGCTTCAGGGACGGTCAATCGGCCCATCAGGGGCTTACAGGGATAATGTGCATACAGCACCCCATTGGATCGACTGTAAATGCCAGTCTCTAGGCCCGCATTCTATGATATTACGATTCGCGGCTGGGCTGCACGGATTGCGAATACAGAAATAATCTGCGTGAGCACTAGAAAATCCAAGGAGGAGAAATACAACTGTCCAATTACGCATTGGTCCGCCGTACGAGTCAGTCTATCCACTTCAGTTGCTGCCATAGAGCAGAATCCACTAGATACTAGACTGGGATGGAAGGGATCGGCGTTGTTGATCACGGCGCCCAATTCTTAGCTACTGATAGCCCGATTCGATCAATGAGACAGCAGTTGATCGCGTGTTCCAGGGAACAAATACTCTATGTGTATCCTGCATACTCATGAAGGTAGATATAAGAGGGGCACTATCTGTGAACGTTTGATTTGACCTGAGCATCTATTCTTTTCACAGTCACAAGTGCCATAAGGCCCACACAACTGAAAAGGCTAATGTAGCTAAGCCCCATGTATCCGTAGCGTCTCTACTTCCTTTGGAAGAAGTCGTTTGTGTAGGTACCACCATCACCCGTGTCCTGGTCACAGTCCCGGTGACTACAACAACGTTCGTCGAAGGTCTGGGAAACTCCATCAGCAAACCCGCCTAGAGATCAAAACGAGCAGACATACCCAAACAGTGCTGACGAGTTCTTCATGGCCATTGGGGCTTGCCTCAGTTCGTGCGTTGTCTCTAGGGTAATGATCGTTGTGGTGATCGTCTTGTAGGCCTCTGGATGGGAGGTCTCTGTTGGTCGCGCTTCGTTGGCAACGGGACCTGGAGGAGGTTGATACCCAACTGCACCTTGGGGAGCAGTTATCAGCGATCCTGGAAGGCTTCGTCCGAACAATCGCGTCGATAAACCGCGCGGGAGGAAGTCGAGATTGAACGCCGTCGCGAAGAGGCACGTCAGCAGACTGACGGCAAGGAAATTGCCTATAAGACGGAGGGAAGACGGTAGGATCTTCATCCTGATGCAGTTGTCGTGAAGATGGATCGGGAGACGTCTGGTGTTTTCAACGCGTCTTGAGACTGTGAGGACGGCCTGGGGAGATCAACTCTCAGGCCAGCCGCGGATGGGAGGACGAGATATGGGCTGCCTAATGTTTTGAAGTCTGCCATACTCGTGGAAGACATGCAGATGCACGTATGAGAGATGAGTAGTTCCATTCTCGAGTTCTCGACTATGTCATTCGAATGGAGTTTCTCAATTGACAAGAATGAATGGATCCAAGCGCGAGTGAGCAGACCTATCAGAGGAAGAGACATCTGGTGACGCCAAACAACCAAGGCCTCGTGCATTCGATTGACTTGATGCAATCCACTCATGGAAGATGTGGTATGCGGAATGGAGATCGGAATGCAGTCGTGGCCTTCTGGCTAGACAGTCAACAACCATCTAGTCTACTGTAGGTCCATTCAAGACGCTCAGTCACCAATGGTATTCTCGTGAACGACCTCATCACCACTGCAGATCAAAAGCTCGGTCTTCTAGACTCTGTCAGATCTTAACCGTTGATAGCTGTACGGCCGACACATCGGTTGTGGTTCAAGCCAGCATTCTTCAGTGACACAAGCACGTTTTTCGCCGAAACAGCCAGCATATCGCAGAAGAAAGCATGAGACTGAGAATCCGTAGCTGCTCTTATTTCCTAGGAGCTTGTCTCAGAGTAATCTCTGCCATTCCTGATGGAGTTCCAAGATCATTCGCAGCGATGACCGGAGTCGCATAGTCATCAATCGAGCAGGATTCTAGCATTTTCAAAGTCATTCTGATCAGACTTTGAGAGCGCACTTAGGAAAACACTCTCGTAGAATCCAACAAGCAACTATCTTCCCTGTTCCCGGGAGACTACAGAGTGAGATGTGAGCACTTGGAGTCTGAGGTTTGTTGTAGGAGTGGTAGTTCTGCCCAAAGCGGTATTGTAATTACACTGTCGGGGAAACGCCAAAAGACGCGTGATTCGCGTAGTACAGCGGCCTCGAGTCAACCGAACAATGACGAAGCTCCGCTTCAACTTCTTCAATTACAAGCTGTTTGGGCCATAGCGGAAAGAATCATCTCATTTTCCATTGCTCAGAGGGAGCGCCTTGGAAGATAAGAGATTTGCTCACAACGATGGCTACTAACACAGCGGAGGACGTGTTTTTGCAACCCCCCAGGTCTGCTCTTCCGCATCTCTCTTCTCAATGCTCCAGTGGATAAATCATGCTAACAGTCGCTCGATGCAGTGACGAACAGTTCTCGCCTGTGTATCGCGAAATCTCCCACTACAACCCGCTTCATACTTTCAAACTCCCCACCGGCGAATCAAGACATTACCAGCAACAATATGGCGACATGTACTTCTTGCGACTCGCACGATTGAAACCTGTGGTGGAAGAGGTTGGAATGGATGCATGGGAAGGATTTAGTGTAAGACAACCTCGCCGATGCCGGACACTCGATCGTCTTTTCCTAACCCTTGTCGACGGCCAATAGATCGCCGGAGAACGCGCTCGTCGCGTAGAGCGAGTGCTCGATGTCCGACAAGGCGAGCTTTGCTGGGTCGCTGGGACGGTCTACATGGACATGCCCTTGAAGCCGAATATCCTCGATGATCTTTCCAAAGAGGTTCGAACGTCCTCGTCCGTCGTGCCTACACGCATCCGCTGATACCTCCTAGAGTCACACCCTAGCCCCTCCGCCCCGTCGCACTTACCAAGATCCCGCTCATCCGGAATTGACTCAATTCATGTTGGAAGACGAGTCGGGCCGCTTGCGATTAACAGGGAATCTCCTGAGGTCAACTCAACTCGCGACAGGAGCCATCATAGCGGTACTGGGGACGGAAAATGCGAACGGTGATTTTGAAACGATCGATATCAGAGTGCCTGACCTGCCTCCGCAGCCGCGTCGGTGGGAGCGGGACGAAGACAAAACGGGCGGAGAAGAGTCGCGCAAGGGCAAGATTGCTTTTGTGAGTGGTCTCGGGATTACGGGCACATCGAGTGATACTCTTGCACTGGAACTTCTGACAGACTATCTTCTGGGGTATACAGGGTCGGATGGATCCTCTATCACACGGCTTATCATTGCCGGAAACTCACTGGGGGCTAGTGTGATGGCTGAGGCAGCATCGACAGGCACTGAGACGGGAGCAGCGGGGAAGAAGAAGATTGCCCCGAGAAAGTATGGATACGACGCGTCTGCGTACAACGCCTCACCCATCACACAACTAGACAACTTCCTCGCGGAGATCCTGCCGAGCATACCTGTGACTCTCATGCCGGGTGAGAGTGATCCGGCGAACTTTGCACTCCCTCAGCAGGGGATCCACCGAGCGATGTTTCCACGAGCCAGAGCATACTGTGCTCCACCTCCGTCGGGGGATGAAGCTCCCGAGCCAGGCTGGTTCGACAGCGTCACAAACCCGTGGGAGGGAGACGTCGAAGGATGGCGGCTGTGGGGAAGCAGTGGACAGAACGTGGATGATGTCCTCCGGTATCTGGACTTTGCAGACAGTGATGCGCTAGACGCCGGTGATGGGGACATCGAGGCCAGGATGAGAATCATGGAGGCCATGCTACGGTGGAGGTGTGGAGTTCCCACCGCCCCCGATACAATATGTACGTTCGTTTCTGCTACGGGTCTTGATTAAGTGCTGACTATTCTACAGGGTCCTATCCTTTCCAGACAAATGACCCCTTCGTAATGCAGTCCTGTCCGCACATCTTCTTCGCTGGCAATCAGCCACGGTTCAAGACGGCGGTGCTGGAAGGCGACTCTCCCCTTAGACTTAACGGAGCCGACACGGAGATGACCGACGCGGCCGATAATACAGGTGCGCGTGTGCGTCTGTTGTCGATCCCCCAATTCAAGGAGACGGGGGAGCTGATTCTCGTTGACAGCGAGACATTGGAGGTGGAAGTGGTCAAATTCGGTGCTTTTGCAGGAAAGCAAGAGAAGCAATAATACAATCGATAGAAGACCACAATGGGCAAGCTATGCGCGCCACTGCAAAATTCTGCAATGACTGTCCGTAGTTATCTAGGATTTATAGATCAAGCGCCAAGACCCGGACAAAAAGTCATTATTTTCCTCTCCCGGCAATTTATCCAGTCTACCGATCACATAAAAGACAAAAAGCTGCAGGCAGCAATATAGACATAGACTCTGACATTTAATTCGAACTATAATAAAAATGCGCCTCAACGCAAAAACCGGTACGCACTACGCATCTTCAAAAGAAACACAGAAAACCTAAAAAACTAACAAAGGACGACAGCCATCTCAACCTCCAAAGTCCTACTCGTCCCATACTCCAGCTGGCACGTCCCACGCTATCACGAATGGATGAAAGATGAGGTAGGCATTTCATCTCAAACCCAGTTTACGAGCGATGGATGCTAATGAAGAACAGGAAATTCAAGCCGCCACGGCCTCGGAACCACTTACTCTGGAAGAAGAGTACGCCATGCAGCGCAGCTGGCGCCAGGACGCCGATAAGCTGACTTTTATTGTCTGTTTGCCTGTTCTCCGGTCTCAGTCTCAGACCGAAGGTCAAGACAGGCCAGGGTTACGGCTAAACGAGGGAGATGATGCTCCCGGGCAAATGCTCGGCGATATCAACCTCTTCCTCCGGGTTGAGGACGAGGACGAAGACGGGCCGTCCTCGCCGGAGATGATCGGGGAGATTGAGCTGATGATTGCCGAGAGGACAAATCAGCGGAAGGGGTATGGGCGGGCTGCTCTGCTTTCGTTTCTGCGGTATGTGCTTGAGCATGAGGGGGAGATACTGGGGGAGTTTGTGCGGGGGAGCGAGAGTGCTGGCGCTACGCTACAAGGGAGGACGGACTGGAGGTTTGGCGCGCTGAGTGTGAAGATTGGGAAGGAGAATGAGCGCAGTCTGGCGCTGTTTGAGAGTGTTGGGTTCTGCAAGGTGAGCGAGGAGCCGAGTTATTTTGGGGAGTTTGAGTTGAGGAGGATGCGGAGAGAGCTGTCGCGGGAGAGTGTGGATGAGGCGATGGCGACGGCTGGTGTTGAGGGATATACTGAGGTGTCGTATGAGAGGACTGAATGATGCCCATTCTCCCCATTATAAGTAGATACTAGCTGTTCTGAAGATGTTGGTCCGCTATTGGTGTGGTKCTGTCTCGACATGCGGCCATCTACACTTCCATGGCAGTATCTGATCCCGTCCTAGAATTGTAACCATGTACATTTAGACCAATTGATACTGAAATAGATACTCTTACTGACTCAATGACTCCATTCAAAAATAGAAATAGTATATTTTCCCTCGTACCTACGTCATTTTAGATTAGGGCTTCCAGATCAGGATTAGCGCCTCTACCCCTCCGCCGTAAAAAGTATCACCATCGGACTCTCCACTGTCAACAGTCAGATAAAAGAAAAGAAAAAACGGTGACGATGCCCATCCCCATAACAATCATAACGGGCTTCCTCGGCTCCGGCAAAACCACCCTCCTCCTCAACCTCATCCCTCAACTCCCCCCAACCTACCGCCTCGCGCTCCTCAAAAACGAATTCGGCGATGTAGCCATCGACTCGCAGCTCGCCTCGACCCAGTCCATCTCCGGTGTGCGCGAGCTGCTGAACGGATGTATCTGCTGTAACCTAGTGGGCCAGCTCAGTGACGCGCTGAACCAGCTACGTGAGGAGGTTCAGCCGGACCGCATCGTCATCGAGACGAGCGGGAGCGCGTTCCCCGCGACGCTGGCGATGGAGGTGAACCGGCTTGCGCGCGAGCAGCCCGGGAGCTTTGTGCTGGACGGGGTGATCAGCGTGATTGACGTGGAGAACTGGGAAGGGTACGAGGACACGTCGTACACGGCGAAGCTGCAGGCCAAGTATACGGACCTGATCATCTTCAATAAGTGGGAGGGGGTATCGGAGGAGCGATTTGAGCTGTGCTTGGATCGCGTGGGGGATCTGGAGGTGCAGACGCCGTGGGTCAAGTCGGATAAGGGCCGGGTGGATAAGGAGGTTCTCTTGGGGATTGACGGGGCGTTGTTCGCCAAGGAGGATGGCGAGGATGCGTTGCGGTTGACGGACGAACATCACCACCAGCATCGGCATGACCACCAGTCCGAAGTCGAAGTGCTGTCCGTCACGCTCAAGGCCTCCCGGCCCGACCAGACCATCGACGTCGCCGCCCTCGAGATGATGCTGCTCGCCGCGCCCAAGGACGAAGTCTACCGGATCAAGGGGACCATGCGCTGTCCTGCCTCGCAACCGCCCGCCGACTCCGGGGACAACCCCGGCGAGAAGAAGCCCGCGCCGCCTCCGACGTCCGGCAATGAAGCTGTCCGACACTACATTCTCAACTGGGCCTTTGGCCGCTGGACTTTCACGCCCTCGGAGATGGTGGCGGAGAGCGCGGACCCGGCTGTCGTTGCCCGTCTGACGCTTATTCTAGCGCGGTACGAGTCGGGCAAGTGGAAGAAGAAGCTGGAAGCTGGTGGGTTGATTCAGCTTGGTGAAGCTGCCAATGGCGAGTTGGTGGTTGAACGCCTGGTATAGATTACTTTCTGTTTTCATTTTCTTTGTACATGAACTACGGTGGAGCTGGCTCCTTACAATTGTGGTCAAGAGACGACGCGGCCACGAAGATAGATATAAAGTTAGATACTTGCTAGATATACAGATGACCCCATTTTCTCCATCAAAGTGCACTCTATAGATGCGGGATTACCAAGGGAACCAAAGGAATGACCAAAGTAACTCAAAAAGATCGATTAGACAATGTGGACAAAGTCTAGTCTATCAAGCAAAAGGGCAAATCAATCATTATGGGATCCCCGTCCTCCCCATTATCTATCCCACAACAAACATAAGTACAGACAGCAAATGAATACAGTCAAAAGCTTAAGCAAATACAAGAATGTCTCTAATACTCCAGGAGAGCAGTTGCACCGGCTTCGCTCGAGATGTAAATCACCTCGTGGTTGTCCGAGAAGCCGTTGAACCGGGTGGCGCTGCACTTGGTGTAAGCGCCCATCTCCTCAAAGTACAGCCAGTCGCCGACGTTCAACAGACCAGGCAGAACAATCCGCTGGGTGATGACGTCGATACCATCACAGGTTGGACCCCAGATGGAGTAGGCGATGCCCTCTGAAGTCGCAGCATTCAGAGCGGTCGGCTGGGTCTCGCCGGAGCAAGTCAAGATCTTGGCCACGGGGTGCTGGTGGTCGAAGATGATGTTGGAGAAATTGCCGTACACGCCGTCGTTCAGGTACAGCATGTAGGCATCGTTGGCGGGGTCCTCGGGGTCGCGCACATCGCGGCGAGCAATGACATTGGCCGCCAGGGTGAAGGCACTGGCGACGTAGTAGCGGCCGGGCTCGGCAATGATACGAATGTGAGGCGGGAAATACGTGTCGAGCGCCTCGCTCAGGATGCCGGCAAACTTTTCAAAGGTGTCCTGGCAGAAACCACCTCCGACGTCCAAAGTGTGGAGCTCGTGGCCCACCTCCGCGGCCTGGTCAAAGACCAGACGAGCATCCTGCACGGCCTTGAGGAACGCGCGGGGATCCTCGGCACCGGAGCCCACGTGGAAGCTCACCCCGACGACCTTGAGCTCGAGCTCGTGCGCAAGTTCAAGCAGCTGACGGGCGATGTCCAGGGAGGCACCGAACTTCATGCTGAGCCGGCACAGGCTGGTCGAGTCATCGGTCAGGATACGCAGGTAGAGCTCCGCGTCTGGGTAGCAGGCCTTGATCTTGTAGAGCTCGTCGGCATTATMGAAAGTCATTTGCTTGACGCCCACCTTGGCGGCATAGCGCAGATAGGACTTGGTCTTGCAGGGCTGCGCGTAGATGATGCGGCTGGGATCGATGCCGGTCTCGAGGGCCAGGTCGATTTCCGCCTTGGAGGCACAGTCGAAACCGTTTCCAAGCTTGGCCATGAGACGAAGGATCTCCGGATCGGGGTTGCACTTGACCGCTGGAAGTCGTTAGCTGTTTGGTCTGAAGGTCCAATGGTCAACGAGACCTACCGTAAAAAGGCTTGACGCGACCCAAGTTCATTTTCCAGCGAAGATGCTGTCGGTAGATCTCCCCCATGTCGGCCACATAAAAGGCATCTTCTTCACCAGGGCCGCACCGGTCCACGTCCACCTCGGCGGCGCGTTTCTTCAGGACGTCCAAGACCAGGTCCTTGGCAGCCAACCTAGATTGCGAAAGGTCGTCCCCTCCATGATTGCTGAGTTGACTATGATGGTGATGAAAACTATAGTCGTTTTTGTCGTGACATTGTTTAGTCATGCAGAATTCAGCAGGTACACAAGCAGTCGGTGCCATAACCATGCGCGCTGCGACGAAGCACGGAACAGGTCTTGAAAGGTGGGTTGATGGAGATTAAAAAGGTGATTTATAAGTCAAGTGTCAAGAACGCGACTGCGTGTTAAGGAGGACGAAATGATTCGCAACCGAGGTTGACTGGACCAAGCCTCCTAGACCCTTCCTCCTTAAGAGGAAGAACCTTCAGAGAAGTCCTATGCGGCAGCTCAAAGAGTGCGGGAATAAGTTGGAGGGGCGTCAAAGGGTGGTTAAAAAATGGCGCACCGGAGGAGACCGAGGGAGGGGTCAGCAGCAGGAGGTGGTGGAATGTTGTTAAGAGTGTCGCGGAGCCGTCGAGGCGAGACAATTTGACGAAAGAGCAAGGGAGAGGCTGCGAAAGCCGTGATGAGCTGGTGCCTTTGGAACTGGGGAGTTTCCAAAGGCGTAAAGACGCGGTCTTAAAATTGGGGAAGAGAACTTTGTCGCTTGGTGGACAAAGTAAGAGAGCTTTTTTTTAATCCCACAAATGAGATAGATCTGAAGGAGAGGAGAGCAGCGGTCAGTACCCTTGCAGAAGAGGTGAGAAACGACCGTAACGGAGGAGGGGAGGGAAAGGTGAGAGATTTTATGGGCGAACGACGAGGCGCGTGCGGTCTTTTTTTTTCGCTCGTTCGGCGGCGATGGTGTTTTAGGGCAAAGGGCACACGCAGCGAAAGTGGGGGAAAGTCGACATGGAGTACCAATACAGGCAGAGACCAAATCAAGGAAATGAAGGAGCAGGGAATCAGACGAAATGCAACTTACCTCGAATGGCAATGGATGGGAGAGAGAAAGAGAGAGAGGGAAAAAAAGCGAACAAGACGAGCGAAAGGAGGAAACGAGGAAAAGTTGGTGATGGAGGAGAAACCGAGAGACACCAACCGAGAAGAGACTGGACTGTGGGGAACACCTCCTCTGACGGCGGTATTTCCGGTGCCCCTCTATGACGAAGCTGAGGCATTTACGGAGTACTCTGCACCTTCGTACTGCTGAAGGTGGCTAATTAATATCAGTCATTCTATTCGTCCTCCCCAATTGACTCATCTTTGCTCTCTTTCAACCCAAAATTGCAGCCTGATTTCAAGTCCTCTTTCCGCTCCTGGACTCCTTCTGATCTGCAGGGGGCATCACATTATTGTGGCTGTATCATTCTGCAGCCTGCATCTACCTGTGCGTGGTGCATGTGCATCATCATATCCCTTAGAATCATCACCATCATCTGCCATCATCCTATGCAGTTCTCTCTGGACTGGATGTTATATTTAGCTCAATAGCTTGACCATGATCCATACCGGAGCTACCACCAAAATATCAATCTATCTCTGTCTCAACGCCTTCTGTGCATATACCTCAATTTATTATACATAGCACTTAGCCTATTGATGTTTTGGATACTGAAGCACAGAGGACATTTTCTTCCATCTCTATAGCTGGTGCCTTACCTAGGAAATGTCAACAGTCTATGTAAATCCACCTCAACACACAAGGGCTTCTACATCGTCACCAAATACACAGGCAATGTTATTTGATTCGCGACCGACTGTAAAGGCCGAAGAGAGTTTCGAAAAACTACGCAAGGCAATTGGGTCGTCTACTTTAAGATAAATACGCATCGGTCTGCTCCAGCCTGAGGCATCTCATCCATCCTGGCTCATCATCACCCACGAATATAGCGTCACGCTCAACCTCATCTCTCAGAACGGGCAACGCTAATTGAACATATGTAGAGGAAGCGAGGATCAAGAAGCTATCATGCAATTAGAGGTACTCTGATTATCAGCAACCTAAAAATAAATATATACGAATATCTGGCAAGCATAGCCCACCAAACACGTATTAAACAGTTCCTTAAATCAAAGAGTAAGCTGCGCCAGGCAAACTGAATCCTCAATAATGGGGTATATGCGCTCTTAACGGAAGAGAAGGAAATAGGAGTCGGTGGCAGATGGCCAACCACTCCAAGTATTACAAAGTATGTAGAAAGACTGAAGAAAAGAGAAGAAGCAGGTGTCCTCATCACAACCACAGCACCCATCGGACGCCGGAAATTGCTCCTCGAAAGACATAGCGAAGGACCTTGAAGGCCATAACAATCAACCACACCCACCACAGCATCCCAACAAGCGCCCATTCAAGCATGACGAAGCCTGTACGGCGGAGCCAGCGCAAACGCCGATGGCGCTTCCGAATGCCCTTATCGAGTTTGTCGCTCAACTGCTTCACCGCAAGCGTACTCGTCGTGTTGAGCTCGACGCTGAGATTTTCGGCGTCGTCTGCCAGGGTTCGGACTCGCGGGGCAAGAGTCTGGTTGACCATGTTTTCCAGCTGTGCCAACTGCGTTTTCAAAGCGGCCGAGGCTTTAGGGAAAACCTCAACAGATCGCTGAAACGAATCATGAGATGTCTCTAATCGCCGGAGCAGTCCCTTAGCCGCCACATCGAATTCACGGAGGCGGATGACCTGAGGCACAGGGCCGTCTGGATAGGCTTTCCGTAGAAAGTCCGGCGGCGGACTGCGTATCGATTCGGCCCGGCGGGTGATTTCCCGCGCTTTGATGCCCGATGTCAGAAGAAGCGCCCTCGTACGCTCGATTTCCCTTCGATCCGGGATACCAGAGTCCATCGAAGTCGAAATGCTGCGGTTGGAGATGCTCCATGCCCTTGACTGGCCTGACGCGCCACCACGCCTGTCTTGAGGACGATCTGCAGCCGAGACCTCTGCTTGTGCAAGCCCCGTTACCGGGGGACGGGTCATACTGAAAGGAACCGATGGATCTCTAATTTGACCTTTCTTGATCTGGCTCCGGACCGCGTGGAAATCGGGCTCAAATCTTCGGCCATCACCAATCTTCTCCGCCAGAACCTGTGCATCCTGCTTCCTTTGTAGCATCAAAGCGCCGGGCCTCTTCGTCTGCGACACTTGCGCATCGTGCAATGGAGCATCCGGGCCCTTCGTTAAAGGACTATCCACTCCGGAAGCTCTATGCTGTTCTTCTTGCTCCGTCCGTCGAGATTGGGTTGCCAAAGCCGCGGCTGATTGCAAAAGACTCTTCGCGCTGCCACGCTCGGATTGCTTGCGAGGAGTTCCATCCGAGAATGTCGGCAGTCGACGTAGGAGGGCCCTGGGCCCGGATCTCTTTTCACCCTTCGCTTCCTCGCCCTCGTCCCATGCACTATCCTCGGAGGGAAGGCTGGTCTCCAATGACGAAGTCCTTGAGTGAGCTGGATCGTCCTTCTTCATTATCAAATCGCCCATTTTTGAAACCTCATTGCCTACAATCTCCGCAATTTTCCCTGGTCCTTTCAAGATCCCGCGTAGCCGCGATTCGGGCTGGAATGATCCTTTACGCGCATGTGTGTTGCTCCGGGTCTTATCAGCTTGATATAATGGCGACACATGATCTGGAATTGGGCTCGGTTCGAGTTTGCCAGCTCGATGTGCGGCATCGGATACATCTTGTTGTAGATTATCGGCAGTATTCGCCGCAGAGATCAACTTGTCCTCCAGGATCTCCCGGACGCGTGGGCGGCTTTTGCTTCGCGCCTGGTTAACAATAATTCCGTGAGCAAGTTGTCGTTTGGATGGCGACGGTGAGCGGCTTGAAGGAGGCGACAAGTTGGACGCAATGCTAGGGAAGTACCCAAGGGGAACAGGTGGAGTGCCAGTAGAAGAAGGATCCTGACGACTTGCGGCGGATGACAACGAGCCGCTTCGCTCGTCCAATTTGGACCACGTCGGATGGATACTCGAGGTCTGAGAGGGCAGCGATCCTGTATTGAGGCCATGTCCTTCATCGGGGGCAGTGGTAGAGGTGTTTACTTGCGAGCTCCGAGCTCGATTAAGTTTTGATGCGGCGGATAGACCTATATTGTCCGCATAATGATACCAGAAGGGTCTTTCACCAGTGGTGGAGACACTCGAAGAGCTGCTTGACCGTAATCCCACTTTGCGCTCCTTGGTACCTATGCCGGTCAGCGAAGTACCTCTGCTGTGGGAACCATGTGCAGGACTGTGATATCTGTGCCGTCGCCTTCCACGATTGACGCTTCTGAACTCAGGTCCCAATGCGGGATGAGCATTGGAGAAAGAAGTATCAGAATCCGCGTGTTGTGCGCTCGCAGACGGCGGCTTGGCCGGCATATGCGTCTGTGCAGAGGTAGGTGGCATGTCACCAGAAGGATGCAACTCTGCTGGGTCCGGAAACAGGAGATTCCCGTCTTTGTCCACCATTTTACTCTTGTTCTGGCCTTCTTCAACCCAGGCGGCATCAGCCAGAAGCTCAGCTGGAGAGACTGTCCAATCGAACCTTGGCCTACGAGCTGCTTTGGTGCTGCTAGTGCGGCTGACTCGCCTTAAGCTGGAAGGAGGAGACGCTGCAAACAGATCTGGATCATCGGGTTCTTCTCGTGGCGGATCCATCTGACCTCGTTCGAACGGTGGCAGCTTTAGACATTCGGAATGCAGGTGACTTGTGTCGCCATACCGAGACTGAACCGAGTTTACCCATTCACGCACCCTAGCGACGTCATACCAACCTTCCGACTCTGGATCGATCGGACGTCTCTCACGGAATCGGACTTTCCGATTCCGAATCGCCTGGAGAGGATTGTAGTCTCGCGACTGAGCAGGGCTACCCCTTGACGCTGATGAGGCGTCTGTAGCATCTTGCGTGCCATGATGTCTCAGTGGCGGAAGCGAAGGGAGCAGACGCAAATAGAGATGGAATAGCTCAAAATGACGCCTGGCTTTATCCGCCCGAGCAAGCGTACTTGTTGAGAATGCCTGAGGCAAGGTCTCTCCTCCAGCAGCATTAGGTAGTAAATCCAGCACGGATGATGGATTCACAGCTGATTCACCAGGGGGTGGCGTGGCCCGATTACTGGTCCCCGCTTGAGTATAATCGCGATGCGTATGAAGAGTCGGATATCCACGGCCGGCGCTCGTAG